AATATCATGTTTGCTAAGGTGGAGGGTCAGAGGAAAAAGAGGAAGACCTCCAACGAGATGGATTGGCCAAGTGGCAGCATCAATGGACTCAAGCATGGCAACAATTATGAGGTTAGTGCATTGTTTCGGTCTGTTGTGCATAGGGTCGCTATGAGTCAGTACTGACTTGATGGCACCTAACAACAACAACAACAATAGTGAATATGACTCACTAGTCCTCACAAGTGGGGTAGCAATCAAAAGTGGAAAATAAATAGAAGTGATCCCTGGTGGCACAGTGGTGGCTCAGCTGCCAACCAAAAGATTGATGGTTCACTCTACAGGAGAAAGACATGGCAGCTGACTTCCTTAAAGATTTACAGCCTTGAAAATCCCCTAGGGCAGGTCTACCCTGGCCTACAGGGTTGCCAAGTCAGAATCTACTACTCATTGGCAGGTTTTGGCGGTAAGCTTCTTCTAAGATTGCCTCCATTCATCTCCAGCTCCTAACATTCATGTCTTTTTGCAATTCCCTCCCCTTGAATGTGAACTGGGCCTAGATTAACTTGCTTTTTTACATATAACTTTTATGTGAATTCAGTGAAGGTTTACAGAGTAGATCACTAGTTTTCTATCCAACAATTCACATCCTTCATTTCATCTCAATGACTGCAATCCCCTCAGAGTAACATCACCCATCCCACTTCCTCCCTGTGCTTCTGGTTTCCATTCCTCCTTCTTCCCCAACCCTTCTGCCTGTCGTCCTTGGGTAAATGCGGCCCTATTGAACCTGAATGGGCGACCACCCGATGGCATGCTAGGACTAACAGACAAAATACAACCAGAGTAATAGATGCCACTTCTGAGATTCAGTTTTGTGACTTCAATCTTGCTTTCTCTCACGACCCTCATTCTGAGGATGCAAGTGCTATATGGTGAGAAGTGACACGGAGAGGTTCACATGACAAGGAACCCAGGCCTGTGGAAAACAGCCAACAGCTGTTCGAGTGTGTACAGAAATGGATCCTTTGAAGCCTTCCAAGAGCCATGTCTCCCGTCAGATCCTCCTGTCATATCTGGAGCAGACAGCAGCCCCAGGTGACAACAGTGAAGCTTTGTGGCCGACCTTGAGTCAGGAGTACCCAACTAAACCAAACTCCAACTTCTGACCCACAGAAATTGTGAGATAATACATATTTGTTGTTTTAGGCTGCTACAGTTTGGCGTCATTTTTATGCAGCAACAGGTCGTTAATACATATAATAGCATGACCCCCTCCCGCAGCAACTCAATCTGCCTTCTCCCTTTTACTACTGGTTATATAGCTTTGATAATATAAACATTCGTTTCTTTTTCTTTTTTAAGCTGGGGACTGTAAAAAATAAAAATATCAATGAATGCTAAGGGATATTCTTATATAGAATGTCTCCACCTCAGGTTGCTTCTCTAAATGTAGGGTTGCAGACCAAAAAAACTGTTTTTCTCCCTAAAGAAAAATAAGATAAATATGAATACAATCACTGAGCAGAAACCCACATAATTTATGCAAACATTGGAAAGGACTAGAAGAATACCAAAGAGGTATTCACAATGACCTTTGTACGGTTTGATTACTGGTACTTTTATTTTTTGTGTCTTATGTAATGCATCAGACTGCAAAGTTGTTTAAAATGCAACATCGGTGGTTCACGGTCACCAGCTGCTCCTCCTATACCGGGTCGCTATTGCTATGGGTCGGAATCAACTCAACGGCACTTAACAACAAATGTTGTTGCTGTTGTTACGTACTGTCGGGTCAGTTCCAACTCACAGCAACCCTGTGTAGTTTCTGAGGAGCAGCTGTTGGATTTAATCCACTGGCCTTACAACTCAAACCAAACCTGTGGTCCAGTGTTTACCTACAGCGCCGTACCAGGCAATACATGCACAACTATTATTTATGACAGGAGAAAAATACCTACCCAAACTAGTATTTTATAAAAAGACAAGTCATCTGTAATTCAAAAAAAAGGAGAAGTAATTAGGTTTCTGGAGTCTAGCTACGGCTCTGTCAGATAAGCAATGGACTACTATCTGCAAAATAAAACCACCAGCTGCTCCTTGAAACCCTATATAGTGTCACTGTAAGTGGGAACTGACTTGATGGCCCTTAACAACAATTAGGTTTCTATGGTTTTAAAAGCAGATGTGAGTAGTTAAGGGCAGAGGAGCTGGAGCTAGTCTACCAAGATAGTGGCTTAACCTCTGCAATGAGGTGAATTACTTCACAGAGTTTTGCTACTCATAGTCTTTGTAACTCCCACCAAACAACTTTTTGCCCTGCTGGGTCTGGGTAAAGAGGGTGGGAGAAGATGCTGATAGGATTATATGATTTAGTTGTGAATTTTAACAGAGTTCAATGTGATTGTAAAAACGTGAACTCTAGCATGGGTTTAAAATGAGTCATCTCAGAAGCAGGAGAGGGGATCTCTCACTACCATCAAAGAAGAGAATCAGGGGTGCAGCCTGTCATTTGGACCCCGAGGTCCCTGAGCATTACACCTCCTTAACTCAGGGACAGAAAGCTGTGACACTGGAAGAAAAGCAGAGAAGGAGCAGTAACAGAACCAAGAGCCAGAGCACTAGACAGGTCGGTGGGCCCAAGGAGTAAGCGAAGCTGTGCGTGGGCAGGAAGTTACTTGCAGCGTTGTCTCCAGGCACTTAATTCAGGGAGCTAGGTTGGCTGACCCAATGAGCTAGAGCCTGGTACCTGTAGGCTGAGGCTTATAGTGGTACAGTGTGTCTTGTAAGCATGTATCAGCTGTCCTATAAGAGCTTTGTAACACTGGCTGGGCAGGGAGAAGCTTTTCTCTGGGCATGGTTGAGGAGGATGTTCTCAGTGGAAGAACTACATCCTGCATTGTAATCTACTAACTTCCCTAATAAACCCCATAACTATCAGTCTTGTGTCTGAGGTCTGGGGGGCAATGGCAATGAATTATGGAGCCCAGTTGAGGAGAAAGGGATTAGGGGTGGTGGTGCCATTTTTTTGCAGTTGGTGTCAGAAGTGGGGTTTGCTACAAAGGCTCCAGACTCATGGAAGTACGAGGTTTTGTTACAGAAAGAACAGAAGGGCACAAGGAAGTGAAATTTTGATTTTAAAATAGTTACTTTGCATATCATTACCTGTAAGGGCTACGGAGCTTTGGTAGTATAGTGGATTACAGGCTGGGCTGCTAACCTCAAGGTCAGCAGTTCGAAACTACCAGCTGTTCCATGGGAGAAAGATGAGGCTTTCTGCTCCTGTAAAGATTTACAGCCTCGGAAACCCTATACTGGCTCACTATGAGTTGGAACCAACTGCACGGCACAATCACCACCACCACCACCAGTGGCTTACTAGTTCTGTGACTTAAATATTTGTTCCCTTGCCTGCAAAATAGGATAATATTAACCTTCTCATAGCTTGGTAAAGCATTTAATAAACAGATAGCAAGAACGGCATAGATGTCTCTGGGTGGTGCAAATGCTTACTATGGTTGCCTGCTAACTGAAAAACTGAAGATTCCAGTCCACCCAGAAAGTACCTCTAAAAAAAAAGGGCTTGGTGATCTCCTTCTTTAAAACCAGTCACTGAAAAGTGTGGAGCACAGTTCTACGCACGGGGCCCCATGGACTAGAAGCAGCTCAGTGGCTACTGCTAAGGGACTGCCTAAAGGCTACCTGTTTTTCTTATACTGCCAATGTCTCCAAATGAAAGACTAAGAAGAATTAAAAAGAATAGCAGATGGTTTATATAAGAAGACATTTTATATTTATCATACACAGTACCTTGTTTCAGCTGTAGACAGGGTAGGAACTTTCTTTTTTTTCTTTTTCCTTTTTTCAGTGCTCAGTTTGTCATCATGCAATGAAGTATCTGAGGGAAAGTAAGTCAGTTGTTCTTTCAGCTTCCTTCTTATTTTCTTCTTAATTTCCTTTGCCATTTCTTCAGCTACTTGGAGCTGGTAAACTTGTAACAGTTCTTCTTCCTCATCTAAATCATTTTTCACTTTCACTTCATCGGTCGTCTCACTTTTCTGATGAGCAACACCCAACTTTGACTTTGTTCGTGCTTTTTGCTGTGTAGAATCCGTCTTCCTCTCTGAAGTCTCCGGTTCCATGTCGTGTGGGGTCTCCTGGCGCACTGCTTTTGTAACTTTTCTATTTGACTTCCCTTGTTTGTCCTCCTCCATGCTAGCATCATCACTTAGATTTTCCATTGACTGTGACTGCCTCAGTTTGCTTTTGGTGACTCGCATGCTCTTCTCAGGGCTATTAGTGACATTAGTAACACTTACGCCATCACTTTCCGTTTCCTTAGTATTCTGAACTTTGCTTCTAAAGGGGTCAGTCTAGGAAAAGAAGAGATAATAACAAAGTTTCAGCAAAACACAGATTAGTTACTCAAAGATAACAGAAAACCGTTTAAGAACAAATGATTCATGCATAACAACAATTTGAAATACTGAGAACTCAGTATTTGTACTTGAAAATAATTATAACATTGAAAAGCATTTCATGAACACTCTCCTCGTTTAAGGATCTCCGATGAGTTAGGTTGTGGGCTGCTAACTGTAAGGCTGGTAGTTCAACCCCACCAGTCACCATAAAGAGAAAAATGAAGCTGTCTGTCCCATAGAGATTTAATCTTGTAAATCCTGAGAAGTTCTCCTCTGTCCTACCGGGTCGGTATGCATTACAATCAACTTGATGGAAGTGTTTGTTTTGAGTCTCCTACTTCATTCCTTCCAGCACTGCATTAGCAATCTCTAAACTTAACTTCAGATTGAATGATTTAATTAATTAACATGGAGAACAGTACATAATGATTTTCAGAAGTGAATGAATTGTGAAAATATCAAATGCTGCTTTTTCTAAGTCACAAAATGATCCATCTTCTAATTAAGAGATATTTGATAAATTGACTAAAGAGCCAATAAGAATACGGCACTTCAGGTTTCCCAGGAGACAACAGTGGTCATTTATCTTGCTTCATAATTACATTCTAAAACCACATGTCTGTAGTGCTAGGATCAGCCTCAATTTAGACGAGATATAGCATTGAACATGATGCCAAATACTAAATATTATCAAGTGAAATCAAATGATTAAGCAAACACATGAACTCCTATCCCCAATCACTTGAAATAAGAGATATTTTTTTAAAGGGAAAAGAAAAATGAACAAAGGGCTAAAAATCAAGAAAGAATGCTACTAACAGTAAAACAGACAATTTGAGAAATTCATCAAGGATAAAAACAGGCAGGATCAGATGTACTCAGAAACTCCTAAAGTAAACCGCAATCCATGAGAAAAAACTTCTCCAGCCACAAAGGCAGTTCTGAAGAAAACACAGCCTTGTCAAGTAATACAAGGAGAAGGGAATAAAGCTAAGTGAAGTGGGATGGATGGCTCTTCTCACCCCCAATGCCCTTGGTGTTAAGTAGTAAGAGCCTTTACTCAGAGGGCAGCGTGCTTCTGGTCCAACCCTCACTAATAGCAAGACTCGGACTGTTAAAACCAACCAATAGGCAGAGGAACAGTGCTTCTCAAACATTCTGACAACAAGACAACCAGAAACTACAGGAAACACAACAGAGGAGAGGTACCAATCCAACAAAACAGAAAATTAACACTGGAGGAAAATGCATTAAGGGCACAGATGAGAATTTAAAATAAGAGAAATTAACAATCATTAAGAAATCCAAAAGGATACTGGATGAAAAAGAATCCAAAGATATCAGAAATAAAATTCTGATAGAAATAAAAAGTTGTGTTGAAAAACAGAATGGACAAAACTAAAGTGCTATAAGATGAAGCCCAAATCAAAATGAATCGCTTTCCCAGGGATGGATGATGAAGACTGAAATTAAACTTTGGGGGAAAAAAAAAACATGTTCAAAACTTCTAGATAGAAAAATATCAACATACGTGAAAAGAAGATGGAAAAAATACTAAAAGAACATCCAATGTATCCATGAGTCTGCTCGTGTAAGATATTCTTTATGTTCTTCCAAATTCTATTCCTCAAGGACAAATTACAAAGTTACGCTGTAGGATGAGCACTAGAATGTTAACCACAAGATCAGTGGTTCAAACCCACGAGCTACTCCTTGGAAACCCTATAGAGGGTCACTAAGAATCGTAACCAACTCCACGGCACAAAACAACAACATCCTTATTTAATGTCACTCAAATCTAAGAAAAATAATACCTTTAAAAATAGTTTATTTTCGTATGCTCTACTTTAGAAGTAAGAGTCCTGGTGTGGTGCTGTAAGAAAAGCACTGGACTGCTAACCTCTAGGTCGGTGGTTCAAACCTACCAGTCACCACTTGGAAACCCTGTACAAAGTTGTTATCAGTCAGAACTGATTAGATTGCACTTAAAAACATTTCAGAAGTAATTTATTTTTCATGTAAAAGAATAAAAGTTTTTAAAAACTGAAAAAATAAAAAAAGTACAAACCTCAGCTCTGATAGCTTCACACACTAAAAAAGGCATTGTAAATTTTTACAGAAACTTCTTTTTGTCTTTTTTCTATGAATATAGTTATTCCTCAATAACCTTGGATTCCCATATTAAAATAAACATATATAAACTTTTCTTTATACATTTTCAGTACCATAAATGTACAACATACAGAGATTGCTAGACACTCCCAAATGAAACAATATGAAGATACAACCAAGTATCAGGTATGTTGTGGATGCTGTTGTGTAGTGCCATCCAGTCGGTTCCAAGCCATAGCAATCCTGTATAGGTTTCCGAGAAGTAGCTGGTGAGCTTGAACCACCGACCTTGCATTTCAAACGGCTTTGCAGTACGGCACACTAACCCACAGCGCCACTCCAGCATTCCTAGTATTAGGTATGCTGCTGCTGTTAACAGAAGAGAAAAATTTAGCCTAAAAGAAAAAAGATTTTAAAAATAAAACCATATTGTCAGGAGGGATCAGTTGCTGGAGAAGGGTATCATGTTTGGTAAGGTGGAAGGTCAGAGAAAAAGAGGAAGATTCCCCCAGTGAGATGGACTGGCAAAGTGGGAGCATCAATGGGCTCAAGCATGGCAACAATTGTGAGGTTGGCCCAGAATCGGGCAATGTTTTTTTCTGTTGTGCATAAAGTTGCTATGAGTCAGTACTGACTCGATGGCACCAAACAACAACATATTTAGTTAGCATTAAATTGACATTTTCATTATTTTATAGACTATTGTCAAGCAGTTTATAAGCTGCAAACTTTTGTTAGCAATTTTCAGTTTTGTTGCACTACATTTTTTAAAAAAAAACCCACCTTGGAGTTTAATGTATAATAAATTACCCTATGATCAACTTTTGCACATATTCTAATTACATTTGTTCATATTCTCACAATACCTTTACTAGTCCTTTTGCTTTTCTAGTTCCTTATTTTAGTATTTAAGGAGTCAGATTTTTTATTAACTTTAGTCTAATTTTGTCCAAACAGTTACAACAGTATCCTGAT